TTTTTGTATTTATTTTTGAGAGACAGAGAGAGACAGAGCGTGAGCAGGGGAGGGGCAGAGAGAGAGGGAGACACAGAATCAGAAGCAGGCTCCAGGCTCCAAGCTATCAGCACAGAGCCTGAGGCGGAGCTCGAACTCATGAACTGTGAGATCATGACCTGAGCCTTAGTCGGACGCTTAACCAACTGAGCCACCCAGGTTCCCCTAGACCTTTTTAAACAATACATAATGCATGTGACAGAAGATTTATCAGCAAATCAAGAGACAAATGCCATGTTAGAAAAGAATATTCCTAACATAAAAAGAATTGATAAAAATTCTTTTTTTAAATTCTTTTTTAAATTCTTTTTCTAAAAAAAAAATAAAGGAAAATGAGGGAAAGGATACAAACAGGCAATTTAGAGAGAAAATGCAAAGGGCAAGCACATATATAAAAATACATTCAAATTAGGGATCAGAGAAAAGCAAATTTGAATAATGATAAAATGGCACCCATCATCAGCAGATTGGCCAAAAATTAAATGAAGCAATAATATCCAGGTCTGGAGAGGCAGAGTAGGGACTAAACATTGGTGAAGCAGACTAGTCTTTTTGAAAAAAAATATAAAAAAAAATAAACATACATTCCCATTACCCAAGCTATCCCACTTTTGGGAATCTATCTTAAAAAAATAAAATCTCCAGCACCTAGGACTGCATAGACAAACAAACAAATACATAAATACATAGCTACTTTTATCACAGCATACTATGTATAGTGGCAAAAAAGATGAAGATTCACAAGAAGCTGCAAAATTAGTACAGTGTTCCCATGTACCTTTCATCCAGGTTTTCCCAATGATAACATCATACACATAGCCTCAAGTACATTATCAAAATCAGGATAATGACGTTAGTACAACACTTTTAACTAAAGACTTACTCAGATTTCACTGGTTTTTGTATGTGATTTCTTATGTGTACAGTGCTACAAAATTTTTATCATATGTATGGATTCATATAACCACCACTGAAACTAGAATAAACAACTGTTACATCATCATGAAGAAACTCCTTGTTGCTCCTTTATAATCACACCCTATCCCCAATCTTCTTAAAAAATTTTTTTAGTTTTTAAATTTATTTATTTTTTAATTTTTAATTGTTTTTTAAAATTTGTAATTTGACTTTACTTTTTATTTTTTAAACTTTACATCCAAATTAGTTAGTATATAGTGAAGCAATGATTTCAGGAGTAGATTCCTTAATGCCCCTTACCCATTTAGCCCATCCCCCCCTCCCACAACCCCTCCAGCAACCTTGTTTGTTCTCCATATTTATGAGTCTTTTGTTTTGTCCCCCTCCCTGTTTTTGTATTATTTTTGTTTCCCTTCCTTTATGTTCATCTGTTTTGTCACCCTATCCCCAATCTTCACCCCTAACAACTGCTGCATGTTTTACATCACAATCATTTTGTCATTTCAAGAATATTATAGGCAAACAGCCTCTCCTCTGTTGTCCAGCCTGGGTGACTCCCTTGGGCTGTATTCACTAAACTTCTATCTCCATAGGAAAAAAAAGAATATTATATAAATGGAACCATATAATACATAACATTCTGACTTTTTTCACTCAAGTGAATTTTTTTTATCCAAGTTGCTTATATCAATAGCTCTTTATATTGCTGAGTAATAGTCTACTAAATGGATATACTACCTTTTGTTTATCTACTCTCTCATTAAAGGACATATGAATTTTTTCCAATTTGGGTTATTACAAGTAAGTTGCTCTGATTATTTGTGTACAGGCTTTTGTGTGAAGACAGTGTTAATTTTTTCTAAGATAAATATCCAGGAGTGTGACTGCTGGATTGAAGAGTAAATGTATGTTTAACTTTATAAGAAACTACTGAACTATTTTCCAGAGTAGCCTCCTAGACTTTTAGTCTGGTAATTGTCTATGACATTTTCGAAGCATTTATAGAAAAAGTGGTATGAAGAGTAAAGAAGTAGCAAAATCCGGAAAAAATTATAAAATAAAAAATTTAAAGATCAAATCCTAGACTTTGAGTTTAATGTGTAATGAGATGAGATTTGTGGGAGAGGTCAGTGAGTTTTGTATTTGGACAGGATGTGAATTTTGGCCCAAGGGCAGACTAGCAGACTGTCTAGTTCGGGCATCTGGGTTATGCTGGTCTAATCAAATATGTTTAAAGGGGCGCCTGGCTGGCTCAGTCAGTAGAGTATGTGACACTTGATCTTGGGCTTATGAGTTTGAGCTCAACGTTGTGTGTAGAGTTTACTTAAAAAAAAAAAAAAAAAAAGATGTGAAAAAAATACAGTCGCCCTATTTAAAATATATTGGAGAGTGACTTTCCCTCTTCTATTTTCCAAGTTTGTGTAAAAGTGGTATTTCTTCCTTTAATGTTTGCTAGAATTCACAAGTAAATACATCTGAGTTGAGAATTTTCTCTGTGGGAAGGTTTTAAATTATGAATTAAATGTCTTTAAAAGATACAGGACTATTCAGATTAAAAATTTTTTGTTAGTTTTGCTGAATTGTGTCTTCAAAGAAATGTGTTCATTTCATTTAGATTGTTGAATTTGTTCACATAATGTTGTTCACAATATTCTTTAACTGTCCTTTGAATATATGTAAAATCTATAGGATACCTCCTTTTCCATTCCTGATATTGGCAATTCATCTGATTTCTTTTTCCCCTCCCTCTTGTCCCCTTCCCCCGATCTTGATCAGTCTAGCTAGGATTTTATCAATTTTATTAACCTTTTTAAAGAACCAGCTTTTGGTTACACTCATTTTTATCTACTGTTTGCTCATTTTCTGTGGATTTCTGTTCCTATTTTTATTTTTTGCAATGACATGGATGGACCTAGAGAGTATTATACTAACCAAAATAAGTCAGAGAAAAACAAATACCATATGATTTCATTCATTTGTGGAATTTAAGAAACAAAACAAATGAACAAAAGGGGAATAAAAAAGAGGCAAACCAAGAAAAAGAGTCTTAACCACAGAGAACAAACTGATGGTTACTAGAGAAAGGGTGGACTGGGCAGGGGGCAGTGTGGAGAGAAGTTAAATAGGTGATGGGGATTAAGGAGGACACCAGTTGTGATGAGCACCAGGTGTTGTATGTAAGTGATGAACCACTAAATTCTGCACCTGAAACTAATTTTACACTATATGTTAACTACCTGGAATTTAAACAAAAACTTGAAGGGAAAAAAAAAAAGAATATATGTGTGTACATATAACTATTGCGGGCACTGACCTCATCAATAAAAGGGATTAGGACCACAGCTTCCCATTCCTGTTGTTTCCCATTTAGGTCAGTTTTAAAATCAGGCGGATAATATTCTATAATTGGTGAGTCTTCACTGGTCATCAAGTGCTATGGAAAGATAAAGAGGAACAGAAATCAAAGAACTAATATCAATATAACTTTTTGTTAATATATTTACAGTATTTGCTCATGTTACAGTTTAAAATTTCTAAGCAAGGCAAAACTAAATTTTTACATCTTGGAAATATTGCAATATACTTGCTATATTTTGATTTTCAACTATACGACTTCTAATTTTACTGCTACTCATCACTTTGCCATTCCAATGTCCTACTTATATAGTAAAACCATCTTTACTCTGAATTTCAACTTTCCCTTTTCTATCTTTTGTTGTCTTACCACTTTACAAGGCTCACTTAAATTCTATTTTCAGACTTCATTTCACAGGCTGCCAACAGTCCTCTATTTTTAACCTTAAACAGTTTATTTTTGTGTCCTAATCAATTGATTTTGTTAAGTAATGTAAGGACGGTATCTAAGATAATTTAAAAAGAAAAAAATCCTAAAATCCAAGAATCTCTTCACCACTAAGAGCAAAGATAAAAAGTCCAATAAAAAGATGTTATTATTAGAGATCTTAGAGTAGATGAAAGAAGCATAAGGATATCTTCTAGGAAATGAATATGAAAGATTATGGTATAATATTTTTTAAAGAAATAAAGTAGCATATTTCTCAGAGTAGTACTCAAAATATTTAATAACCAGTATGGCATGGGCACAGAACAATCAACAGATGTGGCTGTAAAACACCTGCATGATTAAACTGGTCAAGAGTAGTTGAATATCAGTTCTTAATGTATCTGAACGTAGGGAAAAAAGCATCAAACTTAAGAGGAAAGGGAGGTCAGAGGCCAGGATGAAGGACAGATAATGTTTTAGGAAGATGAAGAATGGACCCTGACAGTCAAATAACAAAAGGTGTGTGTGTGTGTACACTCCACTTCTTGTGTGCAAGTGTGTCTATGTGTGTATACTTTAATTCTTGCGACCAGACCACAGAATTAGAAGAAAAGATTGATATCCTAAAAGAACTAAATGAAGTTTGCCCTCAGAATCAGTTTAGTAGGCTTAGTGTAACTGTGGTGACCCAAATACTCCTAAAATATCTTCCTCCCGTTATGCAAACTATATTAACCAGAGAAAAGCCTTTCATTCCACAATTTGATAAACTAAATGCTTAAAACCTAAATTTAAACTGAGATAATACTTCTGTCGAGATAAAGGACTCAACAGAACCATCCCTATTCTAATAAATAAAGGGTAAAAGAACAGGAATTAATCTATAATTGTTTGGACAAAGTAAATGGCTTCACATTTTGCCTGTCATAGTTTACTTTCATTAGTGCAGAGACAAACTGAAAATGTGCTTAAAGGTGCTGAAAATAAAGAAGTCATGGTCTGAATGGTTTACGAAAATTGTATGCATTTTTATTTTTTTTTTAATTTTTTTTTTTAATTTTTTTTTTCAACGTTTATTTTTAATTTATTTTTGGGACAGAGAGAGACAGAGCATGAACGGGGGAGGGGCAGAGAGAGAGGGAGACACAGAATCGGAAACAGGCTCCAGGCTCCGAGCCATCAGCCCAGAGCCTGACGCGGGGCTCGAACTCACGGACCGCGAGATCGTGACCTGGCTGAAGTCGGACGCTTAACCGACTGCGCCACCCAGGCGCCCTGTATGCATTTTTAAAACAAAGCTAACTTTGTTTTAAGCTAACGCTAAATCAAGGGGTTATTTTTCAAAACATCTGTGTAAGAAATATTGTATTTGAAACTGGAAGTCAATATATTTAGCTATTAAAGAAGTTTGGATATTACATTTCTAGGCTTGGATGAAGAGCTCCTAAGTATCAAAAGGGACATAAAAACATTTTAGTTTAAAACCCACCTGGTAGCACGTAGGAAGTAAATTTTTGCTAGCTGCTGGAAGTACAGCAAGAAGCTGTTCAAATGGCTTAAAAGGTTTTCCTAGTTCAAAATGGATTTTGAGTGTGCTGATGTTGCGGATATCAGATAGAAAAGGTGCATAATGGTAGGGATAATACCTGTAAAACAAAACTGAGTTTTAAACAATTGGCAACTTTATGAAACAGATCAATATATTAAATACATACTTTTCCTTATTTAACAACACAGCAATAACTCTAAAGGAAAAAAATTACCACCCATAATTTTATCACTTGATTTAAGAAATCAGCAGTGTTAGAAAATTTAGGTCAAGTGGTGGCAACAAAAGTTATATTACTTTAATTTTCAAAGTATAATTTTACAATTTCAAAATTGGGATGTATCATGTAATTGAAGGATACATCTATATACATATATATGCAATAAATAAATATATATACATATATGTATATACATGTAAATAAATATAAATACATATACATAAATATATACTATATATTTAAACATACATATACATATATATACACATATGTATATACATATACGTACATATATACTATATATTTAAACATATATAAATATACTAAATATACATACATACATAAATACACATATATATAGACATACATGTATATATATACACATATATGTCTGTGTGTATATATATATATATTAATATATAAATATAAATATATATAATGGTTCTTTTATATTGAGTGTGAATATTGAGTGTGAATCATTCTTGGACTGAAGTAATGAGGTAGCCAGAAGACATTTCAGTTATAGCACACATGAGCTGGAGCCTCTCTCAAGAGGGTAGAGAGAAGAGAGTCTGAGCTCATGTGGCTGTTACTAGTCAGTCCTAAGAATGTTTATCTTTGAACTGGTATATATATTATCGTGTTTGTGATAGGATTAAACCATTTAACAATCATACACACTATTTCTAACTACAGGTATAGATATTTTTACAAAGCCTTGAACACACAATTTTTCAAAAATTATAATCTTAATATTTGACTAAGTATACTACAAAAAAAAAGAAATATTTTTATACTCCAAAATTATGACATTTCAAAATGATGAGAAAATTCAGGAGGTAGAATGGTATGCAGAATGGAAAATGTATAAACTTTGGAATCAGGCTTAGACTTGATTTTTGGATATATGACTTTAAAAATACTATTTTCTAGGGGCACCTGGGTGGCTCAGTTGGTTAAGTGTCCGACTTTGGCTCAGGTCATGATATCGTGGTGTCTGAGTTCGAGCCCCACGTCAGGCTCTTTGTTGACAGCTCAGAGACTGGAGCCTGCTTCAAATTCTGCGTCTCCCTCTCTCTCTGCCCCTCCCCTGCTTCTGTTCCCTCTATCTCTCAAAAATAAAATAAAACATTAAAAAAAAGACTCCTTTCTAAAGTAATAAAGATAACTGAACGTCATCTGTAAAAGTCAGACAATACTTTATATAGTGGTGAGGATTATATGAGAAAATGCTTTTCAAGCACCTGGCCTTAATGTCTGATAAATAATAGGAACAGCTTATAAGCACCCTATTAAAAAATGGAAAATCAAGGATTTTCATCATTAGGATGCTCTTCAGAGACGTCCTCAGAATTAAGTTAGTTACTGCAAAGATTTTTTTAAAAGGTTATTAAGTGAAATCGCAACTAATACACATAATTTGCATTGGTTTGTTTTGTTGTGTGATGTTTTTTTTTAATATGAAATTTATTGTCATATTGGTTTCCAAACAACACCCAGTGCTCATCCCAACAGGTGCCCTCCTCAATACCCCTCACCCACCCTCCCCTCCCTCCCACCCCCTATCAACCCTCAGTTTATTGTCAGTTTTTAACAGTCTCTTATGGTTTGGCTCCCTCCCTCTCTTTTTTTTTTTCCTTCCCTTCCCCCATAGTCTTCCGTTAAATTTCTCAGGATCCGCATAAGAGTGAAAACATATGGTATC